AATCACAGTTGACAGGAAGAAGAAATATGCTAATTGGTCAGGCAGGGTTCACACATTTCCCAGGAGCCAGCCCTGTGGGAGTCAAGTGAGTGCCTCCCAGTGTGCTCAGCTCCCCACTTCACCCACGGCCCCTAGGAAAGTGACGGACATCTGTCTCAGGTGGTGGTGTGCTTGCTTGTGGAAGGGTAGCTGCTGCCTGCACCTCACTTTGTGCACACACCTTTTCCGGGGACTTGCCTAGCCATGCTCTGTGTGCAATGGGGTCCCTGAGCTGGGAGATGAGTGGTGTCTGGTCCAAGGCCACTGGCTGAGCAATGGGTAGCAGAATAGGGACTCAGATCTCCTGCTTCCAAATATCCTTCTTTCCCACCCACCCTGGGGTCACAGTGAGATTTCAGATCCCCACAGAGAGGTTTGAAGGCAGAGCAAGCCTTTTCCCCAGTGAGTAGGGTCAGCTGGGCATCTGGCTGTGGGCGGCTGGTTGCTCAGAGGAAAACCGAGGTGCTGGTCAGGGGAGGAAGGCCGGCCGAGCCGCAGTGTCCACCCTGCACCCTATTCCTACTTCTTCCAGCTTGGGAGACTGAGGCTTGGGGGAAGGCGCTGAGCTTCGCCTGTGACACTCTCATCTTTTCTTCAGTGTAAATCTTGTCTCTTTGGTCACTCTGTGAGCTCCTTTATGGGGAACTAGGGTCTCTCATTGCTCTTTGATTTCTCCTAGGCACTGGGGCCCCCTGAAATACCCTACAGGCTCTCTATTTACATGTGTGAGCGCTGTTAGACTAAGGAAGTCTGTCCTAGACATTCAAAGCCACTTCCTCTAGCTGAGAATGTTGGAATTCATGAGATCTAAAGTTAGGAGCCATTCTGCAATATTTAAGTCCCAACATGACTATGGCCAGGCATCATTGACAAACACTTAGGGCAGCCTCTCCCTATTTTTAGTTCAAATACTTATAGAACAGCATCTAGTGCATGTACGCCTACGGGCCCACAACTGGAAATCTCACAGCCTGATTCTGCCCAAATAAGGGTGGCAAAGAGTGCCAGTCCCCCATCGAGGGTGGACCCAACAGGTGGACAGCTAAGAGAGGCCTGAATGCCAGGGATAGGCTATCAGCAGGTCAGATTCCAAGTGAGACGGGGCAAGGCTAGGCTGTGCCTTCAGCTCTCTCCAAAATAGCTCATCTCCACTTGTGTAGAGCAGCCCTGCCATCTTCCTCCCCAAGAACCGGGGTGGCTGTCCTCTCATGTTTCTGGGGGGCCATCAGACAGAGGGCCATCAACTCTTCCAGGGGATTCCATGCTGTTGGGAAAGTCAATTGCAGAGCAATCTGTGTGCTGCAGGCCTGAGGTGGGAATGGCTGGAGTGTGGGGGCTGAAGCCCACTATTTTGTCAGGGAGGCACAGGGTACCAGGACAAAATGGGGCATCAGGGAGAAAGCAGAAACTCTAGAATCAAGAGCCCATAGAGTGCCCCTGTGCAAGGTAGAAAAAGCTCCTATGGCCAGGGGCTGATCTGACCACACATGGAAGCTATGCAGGTAGAGGCTGTGGAAAGCCCCCTCATCTCAGCAGGCCTTCTGGGGGCAGCCCTCTGCCCTCTGCCCTCAGCTCTAGGCAGCAGCAAGAGCTGTGTAATCCGTGGTAGCAGTCAGATGGAGTCAAGTCAGATTTGGCCAGAACTGTGCCTACTATGACTTCAGGAAATCTACAGGTTAGAAGGGTGCCTGCCCCACACAGCCCCACCTCACCTCCCTAGGACTCTCCTGTGGGTGCCAAGCTCACTGCTCCTTCCTGCATGAGATCCTGGAGAATTCCCGCAGAGAAAGTGTGGTACAGCTCCTGCTGGTCCTCACTGGCTTCCTCCTGGGGTCTCCCACAGGTCTAAATGCAGCCGGGGCACTCCGGAGACCTCTGGCTGTGATGTCTAAGCAGGCCTGCTAGGGCCAGTGGTCCTCCAGTGACTTTGCAGAGCCAGGGGACATCAGCCAGTCCTGGAGGCTTGCAGGGGGTCTATGGCCCAGGGGGGGCCTCCCCAGCTCATGACCAGGACTGCTGTGCTGAGCACAGACCCTCACCCAAGGGCTTGTGAGCGCATGGAGTCAGAGCTCCAAGCACAGGAGGGCTGCATGGAGGGATTTCCCTCCCTGAGGAGGGGAAAGGCTGCCGCCGCGTGGCCATGGGGCTGGCTCGCAGTAAGGGCTGTGCCCTTGCCTGTTTGAGTGCATAGCTTGGTTCTCCGCCCATGTTGGTCTCCCTGCAAGTGAGTGAACGTAGTGGTGGAGTTGGAGTGGCGGTGGGAATTCGCTCAGTCCTGACGTCAGACCCAAGGGAGGAGAGCCTCTTTGGAGCCAGGGATTAGGGTAAGCCTCACAGCTTGGAGAGGACACAGGGTGGGAAATAGAGGATGGTGTCTAAGGAACTGGCCTTTGTGAGGGGCTGAGCTGAGCCTCAGCCAGGGGTCCCAGCCATGGAGAGGGGCAGAAGGAGCCTAGGGTTCAGGACAACACGTTTGGGGGGTGAAGTCAATGAGGAAGGATGCAGCCAGCTTGGTGAGAATGGAGACCGTGATGCTGCTGGGGAGACCAAGGCCAGGGCTGGGGACTTTTGACCTTAGGACTTTCTCCTCTTCCTTTCTCTTCCCTCCCAGTGAAGGTCTGAGTGGCTCAGGCACAGCCTGAGTGTGTCTCTTGAACGTCTCTGTGTGTACCTCTGTCTTTCTCACCCTTTCTAACCTGTGTCCTTCCTTCTTCTCTGCTCAGATTTCATCTCAGGCTAGTATGAAGTTTCCATGCTGATGCTGCAGGTGGGAGCAATGCCCACCAAGGGAGGACTGGAGGGGCAAGCAAGCAACATGCTAGTGTGGCAGGGGGATGGCATGGGGTAAGGCTGGAGCTCAGGGACCAGGCCCTACCCGCTGGGGCCCTCCCCTCCCCTCCCACCTGCCTTCTGCCCAGTAAAGGCAGAGAGAGGTCAGAGATGTCGAGAAAGGGTCCCATCCCAGGAAAGGGTGAGAACATAGCACACACAGCTCTGAGCTGGGGGCGTCAGTCCGGAAATATGCTGCCACCCACAGCCTTCCATCCAATGTGTGCCTTTGCCCCATGTCCAGAGCGATGCTCAGCCGAGCTGGAGCAGCAGGATTGATTTAGGGAAACAATGAGATAATGGAATGAAGCGGACTGGGGTTTCAGAGAGCAGACAAAATCAGGGCCATCTTGTGTGTGGTGGTGACTGTGTGTCTGTGTGTGTGAGCGGATGTGCTCACATGGGGCTTGTGATCTGTGGGAAAGAAAGAAGAGCAGTCATTGAATTTCTAAAAATATCTGTAATTAGAGCAAAGCTGGGAACTTTTGCTTTAGAACAAGCCTGGGGAAGCTTTACTAGTCTACAAAGGTAGGCTGCTAGAAAAATTCTGAACTCTAGTGGGACAATCCCTCCCCTCACGAAACACACACAGAACAAAGCTGTCACCTGCAGAGCTCCAACCTACCACGCCACTCTGAGCATCACTGAGGGTGGCCAGCAGGCAGGGTCGGGTGGACGATGTCTTTGCTGTGATGCCTCCTCCATCATACCATCTGGTCTTTCCCACTGAAGTCACTTGCTTCCCTTTGTGAGAAACAGGAGTGGTGGGACCCTCTCCTGCCTTCACCTGGAAGTGTGAACATAAGACTCAGGCTTGGATCTCACCATCTGCCTGTCCCCAGCCTAAGCCCATGCAGCCCTGGGGCTTGATGGTTATGGTGGTGTTGCATCTGTCAGTTCCTGGGATTCACATTTGCATCTGCAGGCCTTCCTGGGCTCTCGGTGTCACCTCTCACTTCTCTTGGCCCTTGGGCACATTAGCAAGGACTCGGCACCTCCTGTTTTTCATTTTTTAAATGGCAATAATAATCGTACTTATCTCACAGAGCTGTTGCTGTGACTATTAAATATATTAATGCCAGCATCACACCCAATGTCTGCCTCAAAGTAAGTGGCCAATGAATGGGCACTTTTCTATTCAAGGCCCACACCTCTGGATTGCTCTCTAGGGCCCTATTTATGACCAGTGTCTCCTGTCTTAAGGTTTCAAGGCCTGGCTAGAAGAGTGAAAGACCCTTACAGCCTGCTCGTCCCTCACTCCCTCCCACCCTTCCTTCCTTTCTCCTTCCCTCCCTCCCTCCCTCCCTCCCTCCCTCCCTCCCTC